TATTAACCTGGTTGTTCCCAGTGACAGCAAACTGTTTAAGTAGTTATGGTGTCGAGATTGATGTATATGGACATATTTGTTATTACTAGTTATTTTACAAAAATATGCAATTTAAACTTAAATGAATATGAATATAAGTTGGGCCTCGCATTTGATTTGAAAAATTTGTCAGATTTTGGAAAATACTAATTTATTTCCAAAACCGAAAAAAACTGTTTTTTTAAAAGTCCGAATTGCAGAACTTTGTCTATATTTAGTCACACTATTAAATAATAAAAGTTGATGAAATAATAAATGAAATATTTTGCAAAAGTATTATGCTCAACTAAGTTTTAAGAAGTTAGGTGTAGTCAGAGGCACGAAAAAATTAGAATTGAAATCACGAAAATTTCATAAAAAATAGATAATCCTGGGCCTGATCGAAGCTTTTTTTTTCAAAAATTAACAAAATGGCGGCTCAGGAAATTTTCATTTAGTTTTTTGGGAAAAAATCAACAGTTGGTCTTAAAAAATCGAAATATTATATTTGAAAAAAGTCGATCAGGCCCGAGTTCATTATATATTCTAAAAGTTGTATAAATATCATTAAAATCTACTGAGCAGATTTCGAGGTAAAAAGTAATTATCGGATCAACTTGAAATTTTCAGAGAATATTTGCAAGGTAATGCAAGAAAATTTTTGGTTTGCATATATATCGAATGTAGATATATTTGAAGTTATTCTCCGAATAATTACTTTACATTTTTGGAAGTATGAGCGTATTTGCATGAATTTTTAATTTAGTGTAATCGGCTTCCGAAACTGTAAACGCATTTTTCTCGAAACGTTGTTTCTAGAGTTGGCGAAGAAAACTTCTCCGATACGGCGAACAGATCGGCTTGAAATTTTCACACGATCTTCTTAGATATATTGTATTTGTGAGGTAATGATCGAAGGTATACGACTTTTTAACAATTTCGATATTTTAAGCTCTTCTTAAGTGTACATTTAAAAAACACGTATACTTTTTATGAGATGCCGCCATTTTGTCAAAAGTAAAAAATTTTGACTAGTCCTTCAGTCATACGTTGTATTCAACTACAATATATTAACAATACAGCTTTTTGGTTTTTAGATTTGAGATAATTTTAAGCCGACAAAAATTCCTTAACGCCAGACACCTGTTTTCGGAGGTCCTCCTGGAGATTGGCTACGAGGTTAAGGCAATCCAAAACTTTTCAAAATAATTTTCCGAATATTAAAGTATATTACTGTTTTATTTTATTCTATAAATAAAAATGACTCTTCAAACAAAACAATTACAAAAACCGCATTTTTTCGAACTGGCAAGTGAATAGAACCCCTTAATTAAATTCCTAAGTAAGTTTTAATCACTAATATTTTAATGTCTTTGTCAATAACCACTTGTTTTTAGTTTAATAAATATCAATTTTAGGCAGTTCTAATAAAAATGCTAAAAATTATTCATATACACAGGTACCCTCATACCTAAATTTTGGATAAAATATTCACTGAACTGCCATGTTAACTCAAGAGAATACATTGTTTAATTGATATACCATATATGAGGTTTTGTGGCAACTAAGAGTGGATTGGATATAAGAAGCTTTCGAACGCTTTAATTCGGAAAAAATTCAAAAACATTTCTTTTTTATTTACAAAGCGCAATTATTAAGATAGCTACTATTAAAAGGATTGTGATAAAACAATTCAAAAAATAGCGAGATAGTTAAAAATTTACAAATTTATTATTATTTATTATTATTAGAACTTATTAATAGCAGAATTGCTTCAAAACCACTCACTGAATATAGATATCAAAATTCTTTTGCTTTTTTATTTTTATTTCTCCATATGACACTTCTGTTATGTAATAATTTAATCTTAAATATGCAAGTGTCAGATTGCAATCACCTTAACTTTTAATAATAATAAATGCCGACTTCATTTTCCAACATTTCGTGGTTAGACTAGACAAATAACCACAAAAGAAAGCGCAGACAAATCCATGTCGATATACATAAATAAATCGTAAAGTATTCGGTGACATCGAGTTCATTAACATATAAATGTTTATTAATATAACATAACATGTTTGGAATATATGATCAATTTGTTAGACATAATAACAATTCATATGTAGGTATATAATATTATAGCAGCACACGTGTTTGACCACAGGCTGGTTGATGAAATTTCGCAAATATGAGTAATAGTGCATTACACCTGTCGTCTATTAACCCACGCCTGCTGTAAGATGTTAAATACCATAAATTTATTTGTATTTTGTTCTAATTTTTCATAAGAATATAGCTATGCATGCTTTTGTGTTGAGATAGTTAAAAGCGGTTGTCGAAATTTATATATTATTATGAGTAAGTTTTTCATTAACTATAACTTCAGGCTACCAGACCACTGCAATGCCTTTCAAGCGGAGGTGGTTGCCATTAAAGTAGCAAAAGATGTACTGCCTCGCAGTACAGGTTCGTTCATAGAGGTGTGTATTCACTTATTTGGCAGAGACAGTACTGGCGGTGCCTTAAAAATTAGTCAATTAGTGTTTGACGTTTTAATCAGTAGTATCAAGCTACTTTGTTATCTGATTTGTTTGGCTGCCTGGTTACATTGGAATGGCTGAGCTGGTTAGAGAAGGCACCCTTACTCCAATTTTCTCAGACTGCAAACGAGTCGATACTACGCTGTCGTCTTGCGCTCTATAATTGGATTTATGTCCCTCTTGTAGGCATAGAAAAAAACTTGTGGAGCTAGGAGATCTTTCTAGTTTAGAGTGGAACACAAAAGGTTTTCTGAATATTTGCTCTTAGCTAGTTTCATCTCGCCGCAATGGTAGGCTTCTGGCTGTTCAATAGGCTCAAATGTCAGGCTTCATATCTTGTCTGAGGTGGAAGCTTCTAGCTATTTTCTTCTCAACTATCCAGCTTTTGCAAGATCAAGGTTGAAGCATCTTGGTAGACACATAAATTTTTGAAGTGGACTCAAAACGCTTCGTTGATCTATAAGGGACTGGTGATCCTTGTCAAGGAGTTTTGGGAATTACAAAGAACCAGCGTTCACAGCTGTCGAAGGGGAATCCTGTCTTCCCTTTGGTTCGAGTATCAGTTTTTCGACCTAACCTAACATATCTTATGTGTTATCTTCCCTATTAACTAAGCTGTCTATTGAAAAAGAAGGCAATCTGTACCGATATTTCGTATAGGACTCCCTATGAAAGGAATGGGCAAACAACATTTCTTTGGCGACTCAGTAAAAGGCATTGTAATATGAATTGCAACTATCTATATATTACTATATGCTTCATGTGTTTGTGTAATATGTATATTTCGAGCTGAAGTAGTGGAGTATTTCCATAGGTAATTCAATTACAATATTATGTGCACTAGCACTACCTGTCTCTTTGGCACGGTGAAATCGCATACTAATATGCATACTATGCAGATACACGGTCCGATAAGTACTTAGTACCACAGCCCGATGTCGCCACTACCAACAGCGATATCGACTGTCAGTTAGTACAAGTATATTCTACTAGAATGCTACTACATGTGGATGTTAGCATGTGCGTGGATTTTAGAATTCGCTGGTCTAACCATTGTATTCTCCAGATTTAGGTGAATTATTTTTGTTTCATAAAAACTGAAAGAATCATTTGTACTTTACACATCTCCAGAAAAATGTATTCTTTAGACGTCCAGGCAGTTTTAAAAAGTTTAAACTTGTATCGATCTTAAAGGAGATAATTGTTGAGCAATAAATTTCAAAAATGTTCGTTTTTGGGTACTTGTCTGACCGTCCTCGTATGTATATTCTATTAACCACAACAGCCGGCAAATTGAATATGCTTTCTTTTCACTCAGACTGACATGTTTACTATTTATTTTTATATTTTTGTTTCAAGAATTTCTTTATTATTGATTGCATACTTGCGTCATTGCATAAGTGCATTATTAACAATTTTAATTGTCATCAATCAAGATACATCAATATTATAACAAAAAGAGAGTAAAAATAATTTAGACGATGAAATAATTTATAGTTTATAGCTTTTAGAATAATATAATGTTGAAAGTTTATTTTAAGAAAGCTTTTTTGAAAAAAGTTCAAAACAAAGTTTGGGATGAGCTCAAATTAAATAGAAAAATAGTGCTCTCTTTTTCGCTTACGTTCAGCTTTGCTTCTAATTTCTCCCGGGTTCACGAAGTTTCCTATTGAAACGTTCTGTACATATATCTTGTAATTAAAAACTAGTTTCCTAAAAAAATTGTTTTCCTTGCTCTTACTATGAAATGTTCCAAGTTTCCATTTTAATTTCCGCATTGTTGATGAGTGTCACAGAACTCGTTCCGTTAATGCAGTGAGTATCGATTGTTTTTAAGTACAGTAGGACCGCTGCAACCATCCCTACTATGTGAAATCTTTACTTTTTTATGTAAACAAATATTTTAAGCACTTCGTTAATGTTTTCTCATAACTATTTTCCCATTTATATCAATTGTTGAGCAAAGTAAGGAAAATTTAATACTTTTATAAGTACTCAGTCGCCACACTTCTCTTGCTTAATGAAGCCCCACTGTAACTGTTTAGAGCGTACGTAGATGAGTCGGTAAAACATCCTGTTTAACGTCAGGGGATAGCTATTTGTATTATTGGAAATGCACTATACTTAGGTGCACAATCATGTCCATTGATGCAGGTATTTTATACTTCCAAACACTTGTGGCTTCTCAATTCGCGTATGATTGTTTCAGTGAGTGGTTCAGCCTTGTATTGTTCGCGGTGAAAATGTTTTGAATAAAATAAATCTTACTGAATCTATATTGAAACTAGAACATGACAATAAATAGTTAAATATTTTACAATTCAATTATTTATTTCAAACCCTAAAATACAATGATGGCATTAATTTAAAATAAAAATTTAAAGAAGAAAAAAGTGTATGCATTATATAATAAGATAAAGTGACAAAAATATATATTAAAAAACAATAATAAAAATAAACAATATGCAAATAAATAAATGATAAAACAAGTAAAACGTAAAAAAAAAAGTAATCGGCAAACGGCTTGCATTCAGTGGAAAACGTTTCATAAGTTGTTTCTAGTTGTTTGTTAATAAAAACCTTCAAGTTGATTTAAGGTAACTTAATACAGAAAAATGATCTTTATCTTGACATCGACAGGAGAGTTTTAATGGCAGATATATGCTCTAGTGATCCAATTTTAATAATATGTTCGAAGATTGTAGCATTGTCTTCGAAAATAATTCATGCTATAACGTATAGTGAACCGATATCAGCGATTCCCCTCAATTGGCAGCTTTTTCGGTAGAAAAGGATATGGGAAAAATTTCAATCGATATCTCTAAAACTAGGGGACAAATTCGCATATATTTGGAAAGACGGAATAAAAATACTAAGAACTTGCAATTGTAATTGTATACCAGTAACAGCCACTACTTCTTAAGGGTTAACCCAGCTTAGAACCATAAAAAGATTTTACTGATGTAATTTAATCTGCGTGTTGGGAAAAAGGACTCCAAATTCTCTCTTTCAGACTTTATTACAACGGAATAAAATTTTTAAGAGATTAAAATATATATCACAGATAGTGTCTGACATAAATGGTTTAATGTCTGCTAGGATTTCGGACTTCACTATACAGAGTATGTTGGGGTCAGAGAGAGGTTTGGGCTAATTGCATTAAGTTTTGATTTTGCTCAGGTATACTAGGAAAGGTATGTACATTGAACACCCCCTAGGAGCCATGCCCACTTTTTAAATACTTTTATACCACAGATGCTCATGTCTAATTTTGTATTGCCATTTGCGGCTTAGTATAGTATTTTATATGTTTTCGATAAATGGCATTTTGTGAAAGTGTAAATCGTCCGTCCATCTACAATAATTATCGTCTTTATAGTACCAAGCGTGTATCAAGTTTTATCCAGATATCTGGAGTTATCGCTTGCATAGACGGTCATTCATATACCTATAAATATAACTCTATATCTACAATATATCAATTGGTTTGAGGTGTTAAAAGAAGCTATTACACTCCATAGGAACAGTATAAAAATAAAATCTAACTAAAATTTATGTCGAAAAATTATTTTGAAAATATTGTGGCTGGTAAATATAACTATAAACCTCTATTAGCCTGAAATGTTAAATTTAACCCTTTTTACATATTTCTTGTAAGCAAAACAAAGCACTTCATACCAAATGACTATGTTTGTGTATAAAAACAAATATAATAACTATAGAAAATTTAAAATTACGTTTAACTCAACTAACGAAATTTTCGTTTGACTATGCGATTCTACAGAAGCATTAGAGACCTTAGGTGACAGAGACCTGTTGTGATTTTGTAAATACTGAATTATTTATAGGAAAACCCATAGATTGCCCGAAAAAGTACGAATCTCATTCAATTTACATGTAAATTTTTAATTCAAATTCGTATGAAGAGACCGCATTGCATTTTAGAATTACATAGTTCAGTTGCTTTTGTTTTCCATCTATTTTGGTCGTCGAAAAGTCTGATTGAGTTTGTTGTATTTGTTTTTTGTTTCACCTCACTTAGTGTTAGAGCATAGTAATAAAGCTGAAAAAGCTTTCTGCGTCTGGCATAAATGAATAATAATAGTTGTATTTGCAATCCGCATTCGTGCTTTGAAATGCTAGACTGGGAGAGCCCTTTTTTTGAGGAAAAAAGTGAATTTATTATTTTAGCGAAGGCGATGCTACTCATATAATAATTTTTGTAGTACAAATTTTCCTATGCATCAAGATAGACCTCTTTAAATTTATTCAGCTATTTTAGAGAACATTCTCAATTTTTTAGGATGACTTAGTGTCATTTTACCATCGACAGATATATCCGCATCTTGAATCAGTATCGAGGTTTGTTCAAGGTCTCAAAAGCCTTATCAGTTACTGAGTGCGCAGATCTAACTCGTATTATCACCGACAATTGATCCGATCACATTTTTCGTCGGTGTGAATACTGCACTTATCAAGTGTTCGCCAACACTTTGAATAGCTCTGTAGTTAACTTGAAGGCTATTGTAACTGTGTGGTGTTTGAGCTCAATTTCAAACTGTCACATACTTCAGTTTGAGTGTTCGGGTACTCGCGATCATAGTTTGGGAAAGTTTTTCTTTAAAATTTGTGAAAGATTAAAAAACTATATCTCTTCTCGAATAATTTTTAATTTTGGTTTTTTAAAGTAGTTATTGTATTTTATGAAGTTAAAAATATAAAAATGACTGCAATCATTGTTAAAAAGTATATATTTTCGATTTACTACAAATGCTGCAGTATATCACTTAGCCAATTGATACTAAAATTTACAGGAATAAATATTTATAGCGAAAATGACATTTATTATAATGATTACAAATTCTGTAATGCCAGCAACGCTTACAAATATAAAATGGTATGGATTAAAATTTAGAATGCAAAATTAGTTATTTGTATTGGGCAACATTTAATCCTCTTTCGGCATTTCATGAAGTTGAATTCAAATAAGACATTAAATATGTGCCTCACATACAGAATTATTTGGTACATATCTGTATATTATAACGCATAAATAATTCAGAGCTAATTATAAGTAGCATTTTATAGCAATTAATAGTTAGTTGGTAATATTCAGATTAGCATGCGAAAGCTCTGTGGAAAGCGGGCGCGACGCATGTTCACATTCCACCGTTTTATCGTATCACAAATCAATGAAAGCGATAACAAACGTGTATGAATTGGGCTTCAGATTACTATTTTCGGATCTGGTTCGCAGCGACACTTTTCTGCACTGAAATCTGCAGAAAATGCTCGCTGTAAGGAAATTTGACGACATTCAAGAAAACCTTTTTTCGAGCAAAAAGTCTAGTTTAATATAAAAATTTTAAACAATAAGATGAAAGATGGTTATAATCGGCGTATCGGCCTCGACGGTAACATTGATTGATAATTTTCAATTTGACTGAAGAGTGTGCTCTTGCTGTCCGTTGTTGCCGCCCTGGACGTTGAGAGTTTCTATCCTTCGAGCTTTACGTTTCGCTTTACGCCGTTTGAACGGATTTCCCAACCGAATTTTTTCCCACGTTTGCCTTCATATTGAGTTTATTTTTCTGTGAATCCCTACCCTATAACTACCGCCAGATACCTCATTAGCAATGGCAGAAGTAGATATACATGCCCCTCTCCCACTGTTATATTCGATAGATTAAGATAGATTTTTTAGGTGTTAGCATGTAGTCTTAATTGCAATTAGTATTATTCAACGAACAGCTCAAGGATTAGCCAAAGTCGATTTATTTACCTATTTTTATTAATTTATCTATTGTAACAAATACCTATGATTTTAGCAATAAGAACTTTGTTTACATCAAATAGTTACCTGGAAAGGAAATAAAAGAACAAAAGAATTTGCCTCAAGCAGCCTCAAGGTAAACTTGTAAATATCTGAGTTTCAAAAAACCATTAGTAAGCGCATAGTCAAGGCTTTCGAAAAAGAAATACAACTTACAACAATAATACACTACAAAATCATAGCTTTTCATTCAAAATAAGATCGAACCCAGCGGCACAATCATCTATGGATGTACTGCCGACGCTTTGCTTATCCGAAGCGCTAACCGACAACGGTAGCAACGATAGTGGTTCAGACTGCAGCTTAGAAGGTTTGAGTGTTATTGGTACGACCGCGAGTTTGATTGCAATGTCTGGTGCCGGTGCCGATGCAAATTTCACTCTTCCGCCGGACAATTTGTTGGATTTCGAATTTGACCCACTCGAGCGTGTTGTATCTGCCATTGTGCCAGCCTTTTTCGGCGTTATCGGTGTTGCAGGCCTGCTGGGCAATGTTTTAGTCATATTCGGTGAGTACTGAATTGAAATTTTGCGTTTTAAAAATTTTTTCCATAGTAAAAATAGCTAGACAAACTTTTCGCGTCGTAACTAAACTTCACAAAAATATAAAAAAGTTTAAGCTATTAATAATACTCTATCTCACCATGCTTCTATATTCTATTATTTTCTTGAGCGGAAATGAATTTTCTGGCCGCCATGTCTTTGTTTTGCTGACATTTTTCCTACAAACGGAAATGCGCAGTTTTCTTTCAAAAAACATTTTTTTTTCTTGCTGTGACATTATTTAGAACGGATGTGGTTTTAGTTACGGCTTCAATGTTCTCCTTTGCTTATATAACAATTCTCATTTCGACAAATTTTTATATAGCTTAAACTGTCTACTATCTCTTTGACTTCGTATAGTTGTTGTCGCTAATCAACAAATGCGCTCCACCACCAACTTACTCATCATTAATCTCGCCGTCTCCGATATTCTGTTTGTCGTCTTTTGTGTACCCTTTACTGCTGCGGATTATGTGCTGCCCACCTGGCCATTTGGAAATCTGTGGTGCAAGTTTGTTCAGTATATGATTGTGGTCACCTGCCATTGCAGCGTCTACACGCTGGTGTTGATGTCATTCGATCGCTTTCTGGCTGTCGTGCATCCGGTGACGAGTATGTCTTTGCGTACCGAACGCAATGCGATGCTGTAAGTACAAAGATTTATATACGTATATACGGGTTGCCATAAAAAATAAAATACAATGTTGTTCAAATTTCAAAAAAATTTAAAAAAAATTAAAAAAAAATATTTTTTTTTCTCAAATGGAGTAAATTTATACTTTTTGCTACTAGTATCTTCTTTTTTTCAATTTCTTTTCCATAAAATGTCTTATCATTCACGCAATTAACATACAAATGGCAACCCTGGTACTTCACTTCCAAATGCACAATCACGTTGGCATCTCGTAACTCCAGCGCCATCTTCTGTGCTTGGATACTCATCCTCTCTTCAGCCACACCTGTAGCTTTGGCTCATTCGGTCCGTCTGTATTACTTCAAAGGACGTAGTTACACAGCTTGCGTTTTCTCCACCGAAGAGGAGGGTTGGAGTTTAATTGGATTCCAGGTAATCATGTCTCACAAGAATTGGTGAGTTGTACTGCAATAACATTTTTGTTTAGTATATCTATATTAGGCCATTGTTTAATTATACTATATGCAAAATAAATTCTCCAAGTTCTAAACTCATAAGTATTGAAATTCAGCCATTTGTCGGCATTACAAAATTTCCAGAATGCGCATTTATTCTTTTGGTTACTGTTCTCATTTTTAGATCTCTTTCTTCATATCTTCTTATGTGGCACCGCTGACTTTGATATCCTTCTTATATATGGGCATGTTAGCCCGTCTTTGGAGAGCCGCACCAGGTTGTAAGCCATCAGAAGAGTCCAGGTAAAATATTCTTTTGATTACAATATGAGAATACTTTAATCGATTGGATTTTGCATAAAAACCATTTTACTAGAAGGCTACCGTACTAGGGTTAACATTAGCCATAACCTTTTGTCATCTCTGTGACTGTTTGGGATACATCGAAAAAATTTTAATTCTAAACAAATTGATTTTTTAAATCAATTAAGAAATTTGCTTAAGATTAAAATTTTTTTTTTCATTTTTTAGTCCGGTAGTTGGGATTAAACAATTTTTTTAAATTTATTATTAAATTTTTTTTTTTAATCCGGTCTGCGGTATTAAAATTTTTGTTTTGTTTCCTAATCCCGTATTTGGGATTACAAAATAAATAAAAAATTTATAAAATTTTAAATCAAATATTTTTTTAATGTATTATTTGCAACCAGCTATATGCTATAGTGATCCGTTCTAAACAATTTCTTCTGATATTTGATATTGTACCATTGCTGCAGACAGTAATCCATGCCAAATTTGTTGAAGATATCTCGTCAAGTGGAAAAGTTCAGTTTGTATGACAGCTATATGCTATACTTGTAGTGATCGGATATCAGCGGTTCCGGCAAATGAGCAGATACTTGGTGAAAAAAAGACGTGTGAAAAATTTCAGAACGATATCTCAAAAACTGAGGGACTAATTTGCGTATATACAAACAGTTAGACGGACGGTCATGGCTCATTCGACTCAGCTCGTCACGCAGATGATTTAAATATATATTTTATAGGGCCTCCGACGTTTCCTCCTGGGTGTTAGAAACCTGGTGGCAAACTTTATATTATACTTTGTTTAGGGTATAAAAAGTTATTGAAAAAAATTGTACAATAAAGCTTTTTTAAATATTCGATATTATTTTGTACTCACTCATTTAACATCTTCTATTGGCAGGAAAGGTAAACGACGCGTAACCAGAATGGTCGTTGTAGTGGTATTGGCTTTCGCTATATGTTGGCTGCCAATACATGTAAGTTAAAGTTCGAAATAAAAAAAAATATAATATTAGCCTTGAAAATATTTTAATTGACTATAAATTTTAAACCTTGAAACAAAAAAGAAAATATTTCAATCTCTTTGCATACGCTCTACCCCTCCCTAGCTAATACTCGTCATGAAAGCTCTGACTTGGTATCCCGGCACACATGCTTCAGTCATTGTGCAAATTATCTCACATGTTTTGGCATACACGAACTCCTGCATCAACCCGATTTTGTATGCCTTCCTCTCTGATAACTTCCGGAAGGCCTTTAGGAAGGTAAGCTACTTATTCATTTTAATATAATACAAAGGTAATTGCTAATTATGAAATAATTAAAAAAATTTTAATGCACAAGTTCTCTGGATTCCAGGTCGTCGGCTGTGGCAATCAACCGCTCTTCCCTATGTCACATCAAGCCACAAAAACAACACGTACCACCGGCAATGTCACATCAAATGCTGAAATGCTGTAAGCCACATAAATACATACGTCATTTCTTCTACCACATCATTAAAAATGTAAAATATTTGAGCAACATAATTATAATTAAATTACATTACGATTTAATTTGCTGGCATTGTGGGTGTTTTGTTTGGTTATGCTTTGAAGAATATATGCTCAGTTAAGCAATATACTCGTACTGTGTTGCTGTGGGTTGTTTTAGAGTTCAAATAAAGGAAAAATTTATGAAGAGGACAAAAAAATTACTTTAAGCTTGTATACCGCTAAGCAAGAAAGAACAATGCACATAATTTGTTGTGCCACGTAAAGTTTATCTTCATTTTTGTTTTTCTTTTTGAAAATATGTAGCCAAACACATGTCAAGGGGTTGAACAATACAAAAGTTGACTCACCTGTCAATATAACATTGCTTCCATCACGGTTGATGTTTTCCTGTGCCAAATACAATATCTTTTCAATGTGTGTCTTTGAAAGTAAAGGTTGGTTAAGTACAGTACTGCTGCGGTTGATGTCAGATCTCTGAAGTTTGCCCGTATTGTATTTAGATATATATCTAATTCCTTTTAAAACAAAAAAGTCTCTTAAACCGAGCAGTGGTTTCTTCTCAAAAAGGAGAACTTGTCATCTACGATTCACCTTAATGCTCAGACCACCTCTTCCCAAATGCACATATATAATAGGGTGGAGCGAAAAAAAAAAATTTTATTTGCTTAGCCTGTGGGTAAAATCTGTAGATTACAAAAAAAGGAAAATTTTTGGGCAAATTTTTGGACAAAATCTTTTTTTTTTACATAGAGGCTCAGTTTTTACTTAAAATTTTTATTTATTTAAAAAACTTTTGATAGGTGTTCTAGAAGCTGTGGAGAGTCCTCTCTCTAGTCAATTATAAGTTATCAACTTAAAAAAAATTTGTGTGGTCATTTTTGGAGTTTTAAATAAAAGTCTTCAACGACAACATGCTTTTCCTAAGCGTTAAGATAAATTTTGAGTCAAAAACCGTCACATTCGGTAATTTTTATATAAATGTAAAGAGTTTAAAAAAAAAAAAAATTTTTCTTGTCCAAAAAAGTTTTAACTCGAAATTTACTTTTAAGCTGATCCCCTAGATGTTAAAAAAAATTTTTTTTTTGTCAAAAATTTTATTTTTTTTATAATCTACAGATTTTACCCTCAGGTTAAGCAAATAAAATTTTTTTTTTCGCTCCACCCTATTATATATGTGCATTTGGGAAGAGGTGGTCTGAGCATTAAGGTGAATCGTAGATGACAAGTTCTCCTTTTTGAGAAGAAACCACTGCTCGGTTTAAGAGACTTTTTTGTTTTAAAAGGAATTAGATATATATCTAAATACAATACGGGCAAACTTCAGAGATCTGACATCAACCGCAGCAGTACTGTACTTAACCAACCTTTACTTTCAAAGACACACATTGAAAAGATATTGTATTTGGCACAGGAAAACATCAACCGTGATGGAAGCAATGTTATATTGACAGGTGAGTCAACTTTTGTATTGTTCAACCCCTTGACATGTGTTTGGCTAAGACAAAAGACAAACAGTAATTTAAAGAAGAGTTGCATGTTTACAGGTGCTTCTCTGCTCATTGATTTGGTGTTTTGAGGTGTTTCACAGAATAACTGAATGCCGTTAGAACTACAAAATTGTATAGAAAGGGTTAACTGAAGTCAGCTGAAATGCTTTATGGCAAAAATAATCATGATTGGGTACTTTAAGAAGATACAATCCGAAACATAGGAGCAGACTCTGTACACAATGGAAGGAATATAACCATATAGTTACTTTAGATTGGCCATTACAGTCTCCAGACGCCAATCCAATAAAGACATTTTGGGCTTTAATTGAAGGAAAAATATCAGAAATACTTTAAACGTCAATAAAAGTTTTCAATCAGCTACCCGAATATATAATATGTACCTGGATATGCGGAGAATGTAGTTTCAAGTTGAAATCAAAGATGTTAGTCTATACTCTAGCTCTATTTAGATGTTAGTCTTTAATAGACAACGTGGTAATTGAAGCAATATTGAATAAATATCAGCTATAACTACATAATATATTCTCTATAATTACAAAATTTTTCCCAATAAACGCTACTTACACTTTGTAAAAAGAAAACGTTAATTTTTGAACGCACTGTATATGTATATGTATAAACCATTTTATTGTGGCATATTAAAACAACTCTTTACTTGTATTCATATAATATAAAAGCGAGCAAAAGTTTTTGTAAGAAATATTCACAATTTTCTATCAACTGGTTGCATTAAAAACTCAGAAACTTTTCGCTGTCACTAACTTTCTTGCGGAAAGTTTAAAAATTTTTTTTTGTGTTTCTTTTTTGTTTGGTTTTTTCTACTTCTACTTGTTCTCCAGTCCATGAGCACGAGTTTATGAGTACCGTTTTATCATATCTTTCGTTGTCGTGGCAACTAATACGGTAGAGTACGGTAATATTAATAATAAAAGAAAATTGTATATACTCTTAAATAATAGTAGGCATGGTTGTAGTTTATTGGTTTTATATTCAAAGTACATCATTAGGCGGTGAAATGTAATGTCAAGACGATTTGGTATGCATATCGTAAAAGAGAAAAGTCAGCTTTTCCTTAAAATAGCGATTTAGTTATAAAATATACGGAAAAGTAATATATTTTATATACGTAAAATAGAAAAAAATTTTATTCTTGCATATATCGATAGTTTATACCTTTAGAAATAACATTATCAAATTTTAAATGAATATTTGAAGTATTTTTGACTTACAGCCTTTTAAAGTGTAGCCGCCAACAGTTAATTTATGATTAATTTATCTTTAAACGCGTTTTTCTTGATACTAAATTTTTCAAATTTGTTGCAGTGATCTTATTGATCCGATCAAAAATCGATTTTTGGCAGACCAAAAACTATCAAAAATTTGGTTAAAAGAAAAGAAAAAGTTCTTTTTTCTAAATTTTTTCTAAATTTATGATAGTTTTTTCTGACCGTAGGTCGCTGTAGTCCGGAGAAGGCCGGCAGGACCTTTGTTTTAGCGCCGTCAAAGATTGCGTGTAACGCGATAAATATTTAGTTTGTATTTTTTCAAAAATTTTACTGTGTGTGCCTAAAATATACACATATATAAATATACCATTAATTTAATACAATTGATACATTACTATTTTCAAATTCTGATAAATCGACCGTTTTTGGCGCTGTCACACTAACATAGGTATACCCATTAACTGACGGGTGAGCCAACACATTTTTCGGAGTTGGTCTATTTGACAGCTGTTACTTGATTTAAAATAAGTTCGGTTTGATACTCAGGAACAAAGTTTTCAAATCTTGCAAATTTATTATCGTCGGTTCGTCCGACGCATCGTCCGCTGCGACCAATATTTGGTCGAAATAATCGCCCAGCAGAGTTGGTACTTTGAGCAATCATAGATCGGTTTCGCACCACGAGCAGAGTATCTAAAAAGACTCGATTGAGCTCAACTGCCATCGCGGTCAACAAATGGAGCTGTGTTCATCCACTTTATGGAAGATTTTGCGGAAAGATTTTGGTTTGCGAGTTTACAAAATCCAACTCGTGCACGAATTGAAGCCAAACGACCATCACGCGTGTCACGCTATCCGTGAGGCGGTCCTAAGTCCCGATTTTCATTTGCACTATAAGCAGCAGATATATATTTCCTTAAAAATTAAGCCGTCCATAATGTTACAGTGAAAGGGGAACACCAGAATAGTAGAGCCATGACTAACGACTTTTTCGTTTCTGAATTGGTGGATGTTGATGTGAACGATCTTTGGCTCCATGCCATACAGCCAATGAAATAATCTATTTATGGATGGAAACTTTTTGGGAGCACAGTTTTACTTCTTGTTCAAAACCACATATCTTTAAAAATTTAGATTTTGCTTAAAATATTAATTAATGCATTCAAACTATAAAATTACTCTTATTTTTATTTCTTTTTTCAAAAAAAATTTTGTTTTTTACTATGGATGAGACTTACTCTGATCTGACAAATATTTTGTGTTTAAGTATCTCCATACTTTTTCAAACAGGCTAATGCGCATTTTTTTAAGTGAAGCATAGTGTAGAGGTGGAATTGGTGGTAGATAGTGTATTGTTTAATAATCAAAATCTGATCAGATAGCTAATAGATTTTTTAAAAAATAAAATTTTTGAGACAACGGCAATCGTTGGTGAATACATAAATGTACAAATATTTCATCACTCAAATATTCTGTGATTTTTGTTACGCTTTGATTTGTCTTCTTTACACATTTAAGATATTTATTTAATTTTTTTAGCATACATAATAAGTATCAAAATGTATTCATATATTTGAATGAAATGCAAGCACATCCAGTTTCTTTGTAAACATATAGATGTACCAAAAAAGCAATTGTCTCAAGAAAAAAATACAATAAATTGTATAATAAAATGTATTTGTTTAATATTCAATAGTCAGTGCACACGAACACGCAGAAAATTTATCCGCAAAATGACATAAAAACGCCAATTTCGTTTTGTTCACGTGACTTGGATAAGTCATGAAATATTTTATTGTCATAGCAAGCTGTGAATAGCAAAAACCAAATAGCGAACAACGTAAATGAAAACAACAATTGACATGCCGCTAATAATTTAAGACGCCAAGATTTTATCTGCAACGTTTTTGGCAAAGAGGGTCTCGCTGCGTTGTCAACATTTTTCACGGCCATCAATCATAACATTGACAACAACCGTCAACAAAAAGAAAAATGAGAAAGCAAAATTCCGAGTCATCGTTCGCTTTCACAATGAAGTGACTGTGCTAGCATATGTGTACCTATGTTGGCACACTTATACTTACATACTTATATGTGCGTATGAAGTACTTCCGTTGGCGGTTTGAAGCTCCTGCAGTTGAGAGCATACGCATGTACGTAAGCTGCCGTAATTTATCACCACTCAATAATTCAATTTTTGTCATTTGTTTTATTTGACGTTCTCCGTAGATACATTCGATTTTGTTTCGATGGAATGGAGCGTAAACGCTTCACATATGAAGTGGCATAAGTGCAGAATGGTGATTATATAACTGTTTTGAATATTTCAAGTAAAAATTACAGAAAAGCCGAAAACAATTCAAATAGCTCACAAACACCTCTCGTTGTGGTATGAAATTTCATCTTATC